CACTGCCGACCCGTCGCTGTTTCTGCGCACCGACACCTCTCTGCCGCCGTTCTACATCCTCGTGTACGTCGACGACTTGGTCTTTGCCACAGCTGACACTGCTGGACTCGCCTACGTGAAGTCCGAGCTGCAGAAGAGACACACGTGCACTGACCTGGGTGAACTGCGCAGCTACCTTGGCTTGCAGATCACCCGGGACAGAGCACGCCGCACCATTACCCTGACTCAGTCACACATGGTGCAGCAGGTCCTTCAGCGCTTCGGCTTCACGTACTCCTCGCCTCAGGCCACTCCTCTGCCTACTCGCCACTCGCTCTCAGCTCTGCCTTCGGATGAGTCCGTAGAGTCGAGTGGCCCGTTTGCAGAGCTTGTTGGCTGCCTCATGTACCTGATGACCTGCACACGACCTGACCTCGCATACCCTCTTAGCATTCTCGCACGCTTTGTTGCTCCTGGGAGACACCGACCAGAGCACATGGCTGCAGCGAAGAGGGTGTTGCGCTACTTGTGCAGTACGTCGGGCATGGGGCTAGTGCTTGGAGGGCGCAGTCCAGTGGTCCTCACTGGGCACGCAGACGCTTCTTGGGCTGACGACCAGGCTACGCAGCGGTCGTCACAGGGTTACACCTTCAGCCTTGGTTCCGGCTCTGTCTCGTGGCGGGCTACCCGCTCGTCTTCTGTTCTCGGCTCCAGTTGTGAGGCTGAGATCTACGCTGGGGCTATGGCTGCACAGGAGTTACGCTGGCTCACCTACCTGCTGACCGACCTTGGAGAGCAGCCTCGTTCTCCTCCAGTCCTGTACGTAGACAACAAGGCCATGCTGGCCTTGTGTCGAGAGCAGCGACTAGAGCACAGAACGAAGCACATTGCTCTTCGCTACTTTCTTGCTCGTGAGCTACAGCAGCGTGGACAGCTGCGACTTGCGTACGTGGCCTCTGAGGCCAACACTGCTGATGTCTTCACCAAGGCACTTGCGCCTTGTGATCATCAGCGTTGCTACACGCAGTTGGGTCTTGTGCCTGTCTTGCCTCACTTGCTCTCCTCTTGACCTTGCTTGTACCTTCGCATAGATATACTCTTGCTCTTGCTTGCTTGACTCTTGTATACCTCTATATATGATCTTGCATGTGAACTGGCCTTGTGGCCTTTGAACTTGTGCTCGGAATGCGTGGTGACTTTGTGATCCACCCTGAGCTTTGCTTTGCTTTGCTTGACTGGTCTTGTGACCCCTTGTTCTCCCCCACTTTGCCTATGGGGGTGTGTCAGAACATATAGCTTACTTGTTTGTGTAGGCTATAGTGGGGTATCTCATAGGGGGTACAACACAATTAGGGTTTCCTATTTGTACTCACTTCGTTCATACTCATTTCATTCTCGTTCAATTCTTCTCATGCTAGTAGGTCCTCGACCCTTAGTAACTGATACCTCTACCATGCTCACTACACCATACTGCCTCCCTACCACTAGCCCCTCCAGGTCTCGTGATGCGCTGTCCCCCCTGTTCGCCTCCTCACTATCTCTTTAGCGTCACACCTGGACAACGCAATGCATCTTGGGGAACTCGTATTGCGTGCTAACATCCGACAAATCCACACAACTAATATTCTTCAGCTTACAGACTTCCTTGATTAAATCCTTCTTTGTCGGTTTATTGGGGACTCCTGGCAATCTAGGCCCTAGCCGCTCTCGCAACCATGTCTTGAGGTCATCCGCCTTGATGTTCCATAGATCCTGGATGGTGTTCGCATCTGATGGGTGTTCTATCTTTTTTTTCCCCATGATTTTTTTATGGAACATGCGTGACAGCGACCGACCTTTATGCCACACATCGCGTTGATGCTCTATACCAGAGCCAAGGATCCCAAGCTTGAATGACACCCCCTCGTCTGAAATTATGCCCTTTATTGGAAAACCCCATTTCTGTAAGTCTTGCAACCCTGTCCTAAAAGAAGCCCCCTCTAACTGATTGGAGGCCAGATCATCCGGTGTTTTTGGCAAGGTGACACAATGTATTATCTTCCTGGTTCTGGCATCCATGAACGTGACGGTGCCCCACTCAGCTTCGCGTGGCTGTCCCCACCTCCCGTCGACACATAACCAAATATCCCGTCTATTCTGGGCCATCATCACTTCTCGAACCTTTGCCATACACCTTTTCGCATGCTTTACTATCTTCTCCCATAAGCCACCCGGACCACTCATGTACTTATAGAAAGTCGTCTTACAAGGGACTGGCATGCCAAGGTTCCGTCCCACCTCCGATAACACTTGGTAGCCTAAGCCAGCAAGTGCAAAAGAGGCAAGGAACCTTTGAATCAATGTCATACGTTTTCGACCAGGCTTGCTTGCCTCACCAGGTGATACCTGGCGGTTTATCGACCATAATGGTAAGGAACCACGACATTGGTCACAAGTCCAAACCACTCCTAACGTCGCCCACATCAACTTCCTGCGGAGATAACTGCTGCAACGGGAGCTAGACTACGGGCTAGGCACGTGTGCTCGTGTGATCTCTGCGTTCGTTCACTTAGTCATTTCCTTGTGTTTACGCTTCTTGCTAGTTCACGGGGAGAATTGACAAGAGTTTCACTAGGAAAACATGACATCAATGATCCAATGAAGTTGGCAATGCAAGACTACATCAGAGCTAGCATTTAGGTCGGCCAACTGCCAGCGCAGCTTGGTCGACCGCGTTCCAGCACGACTTGGTCGACCGCACTCCAGCAAGGCATGTTCGACGGCGTGCCAACGTCGCAGGTTGATGGCGTACCAGCAATGCTCACGCAGGACAGCAGTGCACCCGCTTCGCAGGTGCAAGTACATGATTGGCGTGCAGAGTCTCGTCACCTGCACAGCGCACACACCACGTCAACCTCGAGCTGACGTTTGCCTCTGATCCGCCACGACGACCTCGTGATACCACCACCGAGGTCGGTCTCGCCAACTTCGCCTGGGCGACCGTCGCACTCCTCCGCAGCACTTCGTCACCCGGGCAACCTGGTCGACCGGGCAACCACATCGACCAGCAGCTCCCGTACGTGCCCGTCGACCTCCCAAGTCGACGACCACCTCCATGTCGACCTCACCAGGTCCAGTCGACCAACAGTCCATCAGCTGACCACCGAAGTCGGCTTCCCCAAGTTGACGTCACCAAGTTGACGTCCTCCGCAGGTCGACTCCTAAGTCGACCTCCCCGAAGTTGGCGCCACCCTGAAGTCGGCGCCCGTGCAGTGGTCCCCGTGCAGGTCGACCTCCTCGTCAACCAGCTCGCCCACTGCTGCAGGTCGGCTGCTCCCCTAACACCCGACCACGATGTCGGCTCCGCCCAAGCGAGGACGGGGCCAACACACAACTCCCGTTGACACTTCCATGACTGTAAGTGCATCTTACCCCCACAACCTCGCCCCAGTGTGCACATAATCGAGACGGTCTGAAAGAACCTGATGACGTGGATGGGGTCTAAAAGACACACGACTTGTCGCAACCCGTCCAATGTCGGCTTAGATGGCCATCTCCTTGGGGATCCCCCGGTCGGGGTACGATGAACCTGCAGATCTCTGGTATGTAGATGCAGGGAAGGTAAAGAGGAAGGGGGGAAGGAAAGCGGTCATGCGTATAATGAGATGGTTTCATTGTATCAGTACAAGTCAGTTATACGCCACATAATATCATTCACCGTACATCACGATTATGTTGCATTCCCTAGTTCAACTGATACATACCCTGTAATGTTCGCCTCGATGTCGTCCATGCATTCTCCCTCGGTTGTACACGGTGTCTCTTGTCCGTCGTTGCATGCCTCATCAATCTCTATTGACACATGGGATTCACCAGGACACTCCTCCCTTCCTTCATCCATGGTAGTTTCAACGTTGGGCCTATGAATGTCATCTTCCATCGGTTCGACAACATGAGGTGTAGACTGTTCACGGTGCATGCTCCGTCCCGCTGATGCTAGAGAAGGGCGAGACTATGGATATCAGTGAGGGGGTAGAGCAGGGAAGTAGATGAACGAACAGTGGAGGGAGAAAAGAAAAAAGAGAGGGGGGGAACCAGGGGATATGTGGGGAAAGAGAGGGAGGGGAGGGAGGAGAGAGGGGGGGAGGGGGTATATGAGGAATTGTGGGGTTAAAGATGGAAGACAGTGTGGCGAGAAGGGGGGGGGAAGAATAAGGACAGAAAGAGAAAAGAAAACGAAATCAAGGTAGAAGAGGGCAGGGCAGATGTCGTAGGTTATGGAGCCCAACGAGAAGAGATGAACGGGGATACAAATGGTTAATTGTTTCGGTAGACTCATTTTATGACTTGCACCTTTTCGTAGAAGGTTGGTGTACGCGATCCCACGTCGAGCTCCTCCTTGGTCAAATATTGCTCCCTCTTTCCGCGCACTCCAATCCTTTTCCTCAAACTTTGGAAAATTGTACGTTAGACCCGCGATTGCACGCCCCTGCCCTTTCACAATGATATCAGGTCATCCAATAGATCGATCTTTTCCTCCTTGAAACTTGCTCCCGAAATCCCCCATCAGCAACTGCATCGTTGGCTCGGCCTTGTCCCCGTCCACCCCTGCACGGATAGGGGCGCATTAATTCAACTCTCCACGTGTGTTGTCCATTTAAAATATAAGTCACTGGCTCCTAAGTTCTCTCTTCTCACAGCATATTTGTGTATTCACTCACCGGCCCGCTTGGCTGCTGACATGAGCGCATCCTTCGCTCCATGTCCCGCATGTAAGAGGAAGTACACCAAATCGGCGACAGTGGCGACTCTCCCTTCTCCCATTAGGAAGCTCAATCCACAACGGAGGTAGCATATGGGTATCTGCATTTTATTAGCTATCGCCAAATTTCCTTTCTCCTTACTCCCAACAAGGTCAAGCACTTTGGTCCTCCACGACTCTGCTGTTTTTTCTTTTGGATTCGAGCCATGGTGACTGGTGGTGGGAGGGCAACGGATGTAGTGCGAGGGAGGATGGGTGAGTTTGCTGGGGGAGGGGTTTTCTAGGAAGGTGATAGAAAGAGTGGGGGGTGGGAGGAAGATCGAGCATGCTGGCATAGAAATGGGTGAGCAAGAGGAATCGATGGGAAACAATGAATTGGGAAAGCACCGCAGGAAAGGGCGAACCGGGAAGCAAGGAGGTGGGAAAGGAATGATAACCAGGGAGGGAAAGGAGGATAAGAAGTGGGAGGAAGAAACAACTGCAGTGCAGCGTCGGGAAAAAGAGGATGGGATACTAAGCCATGAAGGGGGAAATGAGGGGACGCATTGGGGAGAAGAAGCCCTGCAGTGGGGGGAATGGAAGGTAAGAGGTGGGGGGAAAGGAGGACAAGCATTGGGGGGAAGGAGAACCTACAGTGGAGGGAAGGAAGGCCAAACTAGTGGGGAAAGAAGGGCCTGAAGTGGGGGGAATGAAAGGCCGGAAATGGCGGGGAAGGAAGACTGCAATTGGGGGGGAGGAAGATTGCAGTGGGGGGGATGGAAGGTAGGCACTGGGGAGAAAGAAGGACAGGCATGAGGGAAAACGAGATGATGAGAGAGGGAAACCCGGTGCTATTTGGGGAAACGGGACGGTATGAGGGGGAAATGGGATAGAGTGAGGGGGAAACAGGATGTGATGAGGGGAAATGGGATGTTATGATGGAGAAATGGGATGGTAGGAGGGAGAAACGGGATGGTAGGAGGGAGAAACGGGATGCTATGAGGGAGAACTGGGATAGTATGAGGGGAAACGGGATGGTATGAGGGGAAACGGGATAGAATGAAAGAGAAACGGGATGGTATGAGGAAGAACGGGATGATAATCGCGAGAAACGGGATGGAATGAAAGAGAAACGGGATGGTATGAGGGAAAACGGGATGATATGAGGGGGAGACACGGTGCTATGTGGGGAAACGGAATGAGGGGGAAACGGGATAGTGTGGGGGGGAAACGGGATGGTAGAAGGGAGAAACGGGATGGAATGAGGGAGAAACGGGATGGTAGGAGGGAGAACCGGGATGGTATGAGGGAGAAACGGGATGGTAGGAGGGGGAAACGGGATGGTAGGAGGGTGGCTGTGGGGGTAAAGGAGGACAGGCATAGGGGGGAAGGAGAAACTTTAGTGGAGGGAAAGAAGGCCAGGCAAATGGGGAAAGGGGGACCTGCAGATGGGGGGAAGTAAGACCGTAATGGGGGGAGACTATGATTTGCAGTGGGGGGAATGGAAGATGGGCAGTTGGGGGGATGGAAGTTACACATTAGGGGGAATGGAGGCCATGGAACAGGGGGGAGAGGAGGCCAGGAGGTGGGTTGGAAGCACAGACTGCATGGTAAGAATGGAAGGCAGGTTGAGGGGGGAAATGAAGGCACGCAGTGGAGGGAAGGAAGGCCTGCGGTGGGGGGAATGGAAGGCAGGTTGAGGGGGGAAATGAGGGCACGCAGTGGGGGGAAGGAAGGCCTGCGGTGGGGGGAATGGAAGGCAGGTTGAGGGGGGAAATGAGGGCACGCAGTGGGGGGAAGGAAGGCCTGCGGTGGGGGGAATGGAAGGGTGGCAGTGGGGGTAAAGGAGGACAGGCATTGGGGGGGAGGAGAACCTTCAATGGAGGGAAAGAAGGCCAGGCAATTAGGTGCAAGAGGACCTGCAGATGGGGGGAGGAAATGCAGGCAATGGGGGGAAGTAAGACTGTGGGGGGGAAGGAAGGCAGGAAACCACCGTGGGGTCGGTGTGGGTGAATTGGGAAGGAAAGGAAGCCAAACAGGGGGTTAGAGGATGGCAAGCCAGGGGGGCGAAATGAAAGAAAGCAGAAGGAATGAGAGGAAGGTAGTCAGGGAGAAAAACGAAAGGCAGATAATCGGGGGAAAGAAGAACTTCGGTGGGGGGAATGAAAGGCAGACAGTGGAGGGAAACGAGGCCAGAGAGTGGGGGGAAAGAAGACAGTGGAGGGGATTGAAAGGCAGGCATTGAAGGGACACGAGGACAGGTAATGGGGGGAAAGAAGGCCTGCAGTGGGGGAATGTGAAGGCAGGCAGGGAAGGGAGCACGAGGCTTGGTAATGTCGTGAGCGACTGAGGCATGGCACTTGCTTGTGAAAGGAGGCCATTTGTCAAAGATTAAACCAGGAAACCCATTGGGCACACCACGTCATGCAACGCAGGCAGTGCTATGAGGAGGAAACGGAGTGCTATGAGGGGGAAGCGGAACGCTATGAGGGGGAAACGTGATGCTATAAGGGGGAAACGGGATGCTATAAGGGGGAGACGGAGTGCTATGTAGGGGAATCGGAATGCTGTGAGGGGAAATCGGAGTGCTATGAGGGGGAAACGGAGTGCTATGAGGGGGAAACGTAGTGCTATGAGGGGACATCGAAGTGCAATGAGGGGAAATCGGAGTGATATGAGGGGGAAACGGAGTGCTACGAGGGGGAACGGGATGCTATATGGGGGAAACGGGCTACAGTAAGGGGGAAATGGGCTCTCATGGGGTGGAAACGGTATTCTAAGAGGGGGAAGCGGGATGCTAAGATGGGGGAGAAACGGGATGCAATGTTTTGGAACGCGGAATGCTCTAACGGGAGAACTCGAATGATATGCCAAAGCAAACATAACGCCATGGTGCGGGAATCGCGTGATTCATTCCGTCACCCCCCGCAAAATCTCTGGGGAATGGTATGGCCAGACAGCTACCCCCAGAGAATTACGCTGTTCATACGTCAAACAGTAAATGCTAGGAAAGGGAGTGCTAGTTTGGAAGGGTCGGGCTCGGGAATCGAATCATGCGACATCAGTACCTGATGAATTTCGGCGACTTTGCTCCTATGAGTAAAATGTCACGATAATTCGTAGCTGAAGAAGTCGCGTCGTCGTTTTTTGCTGACACTCTAAAATAACTCCCAGTATTTCTAAGCGCCGTACTTATTCAGCAATAGACTAATTCGTCAGTGACTTTGTGAATTTTGAGCATGGCGGATGAAGCTATTGTGAGAATAAGCGAACAGGAATGGATCAACTAGAAGTGAAAAGAGTACAAGTAGTAAACCCTAGAATTGTGTACCCCCTATAGGCTAACCCACTGTAGCCTACACAAGTATAACATATATAATGTTTGACACACCCCCATAGGCAAAGTGGGGGAGAACAAGGGGTCACAAAACCAGTCAAGCAAAACAAAGCAAGCTCAGGGTGGATCACAAAGTCACCACACAGTCCGAGCACAAGAGCAGGGCCAGAGGCCAGTTCACATGCAGGAGTACAGACATATATATAAAACTAGACAAGCAAGAGCAGGTATATATATATGTCACAGTACAAGTAAAGTCAAGAGGAGAGCAAGTGAGGCAAGACAGACACAAGACCCAGCTGGGTGCAAAAGCGCTGATGATCACAAGGCGCGAGTGCCTTGGTGAACACATCAGCAGTGTTGGCCTCAGAGGCCACGTACGCAAGTCGCAACTGACCACGCTGCTGCAGCTCACGAGCAAGGAAGTAGCGGAGAGCAATGTGCTTCGTTCTGTGCTCCAAGCGCTGCTCTCGACACAAGGCCAGCATGGCCTTGTTGTCTACGTACAGCACTGGAGGAGAACGAGGCGGCTCTCCAAGGTCAGTCAGCAGGTAGGTGAGCCAGCAAAGCTCCTGTGCAGCCATGGCCCCGGCGTAGATCTCAGCCTCACAACTGGAGCCGAGAACCGAAGACGAGCGAGTAGACCGCCACGAGACAGAGCCGGAACCAAGGCTGAAGGTGTAACCCTGTGACGACCGCTGCGTAGCCTGGTCGTCAGCCCAAGAAGCGTCCGCGTGGCCGGTAAGGACCACTGGACTACGCCCTCCAAGCACAAGCCCCATGCCCGACGTACTGCACAGGTAGCGCAATACCCTCTTCGCTGCAGCCATGTGCTCTGGTCTGTGTCTCCCAGGAGCAACATAGCGTGCAAGAATGCTCAGAGGATATGCAAGGTCAGGTCGTGTGCAGGTCATCAGGTACATGAGGCAGCCAACAAGCTCTGCATACGGACCACTCGACTCTACGGACTCATCCGAAGGCAGAGCTGAGAGTGAGTGGCGAGTAGGCAGAGGAGTGGCCTGAGGCGAGGAGTACGTGAAGCCGAAGCGCTGAAGGACCTGCTGCACCATGTGTGACTGAGTCAAGGTAATGGTGCGGCGTGCTCTGTCCCGAGTGATCTGCAAGCCAAGGTAGCTGCGCAGTTCACCCAGGTCTGTGCACGTGTGTCTCTTCAGCAGTTCGGACTTCACGTAGGCGAGTCCAGCAGTGTCCGCTGTGGCAAAGACCAAGTCGTCGACGTACACGAGGATGTAGAACGGCGGCAGTGAAGTGTCGGTGCGCAGAAACAGCGACGGGTCAGCAGTAGAAGGAGCAAACCCAAGAGCCGCAAGCGTAGTCCTCAGTGTGTCGTGCCACTCACGCGGTGCCTGGCGGAGACCGTAGACTGGCCGTCGGAGGCTCCACTGGGTGCCAGGAGGGAAAGTCCCAGTGAAGCCAGGTGGACGGCGCAGCCAGATCTCCTCGTGCAGGCTACCCTGCAGGAACGCAGTGCTGAAGTCGAGAGAGTGAAGCTCGTAGTCGCGCTGAGCGGCTATGTGCAGCAGCACCCGAAGAGTGGTCATCTTCGGGGTGGGAGAGAAGGTCTGAAAGTAGTCAACTCCCTGCCGCTGACTGAAGCCACGAGCAACGTACCGCGCCTTGAAGACAGGTGGAGAGCCCGGCGGCCGCTTCACCCGGAAGATCCACATGCCACTGACGATGTTCGCCCCAGGAGGGGGAACTGCGTCAACGTAGGTGCCTGTGGACTTCCAGGAAGCCATCTCTGCATCCATAGCTGCCTGCCACTGAGAGGAGTAGGGACCCTCTACGGCCTCCGCGTAAGAACGCGGAGTCGGGATGTCTAGTGCATCCGGGTCTCCCTCAGGGGCAAGCAGTACAGACGCGAGATGAGGTGAAGCAGCCGCTAGACACTGTAACTCCTCCTGTTTGTCCTCTAGGACGTCCGTGCCAAGAGCACACTCACCCCCGACGGACGGAGGACAGACAGACGCAGACTCAGCAACAAGACGAGCAGCGTAGTCGAGACGACAGCGAGCAGCAAAGTCAACGAGCTCAGCGACTAGAGCAGACGCAGCAGTGGACTCAAAAGAGGGGTCAGTGACGACAGTAGCAAGCAGACGCGTGACAGTAGGACTGGCAGCGCGAAGAGAGTCCGACTCAGGGTCGGCAAGCGCAGGAAGAGAGGACTCAGGAGGAGAAGGCAAAGGGGCACGCAGAGGAGCAGTGGACGGACGCAGAGACATCCGGTGCGTGCCAGGGACAGGAGGAGGACGCTGACGCGAACCGCGACCACTAGCGCGAGCAGCACGAACAGGCGACGCGGGACAAGACGCAGGCTCACGACGCTCAGCAAGACCTCCAGTAGGACCAGTGTAAGGAGAGGGAGCAGGCAGAGGAGAGGAAGGCTCCAACAGTGACTGCGACTGGACAGGCTGTGGACACTCTACCGAAGGAGAAAGACCAAGAACCTGCTGTAGGAGCGGAACGAAGTACGGCCGAGGCCGCGCGGCAGCTCCAGACTCAGCAGGGACAGCACCAGTACCCTCAGCGATAGCACCAGCGCCACCCACACCTCCAGCGGCAGGACCAACAGCAGTAGGCTCAGCACCAACGCCCTCAGCACCTCCGGCTCCAGGAGGACCCGCAGGTCCAGCAGCTCCGGGACCGGCAGCACCCGCACCCTCGACGGTCGAAGAAGCTCCAGCTCCAGCTCCAGCAGCACCTCCAGACTCAGCAGCACGCCTCCAGCGGCGAGTGTACCACTCGCGCAGCTCCTGTGGAGAGAGGGGCTCCCGGCGAGACGCAGCAGCAGGAGAAACCCCAGGCTCAGCAGCTCCAGACGCAGCAGGGACAGCACCTGCACCCTCAGCTACAGCACCAGCGCCACCCACACCTCCAGCGGCAGGACCAACAGCAGTAGGCCCAGCACCAACGCCCTCAGCAGCTCCAGCTCCAGGAGGACCCGCAGGTCCAGTAGCTCCGGGACCGGCAGCACCCGCACCCTCGACGGTCGAAGAAGCTCCAGCTCCAGCTCCAGCAGCATCTCCAGACTCAGCAGCACGCCTCCAGCGGCGAGCGAACCACTCGCGCAGCTCCTGTGGAGAGAGGGGCTCCCGGCGAGACGCAGCAGCCGGAGAAACCCCAGGCTCAGCAGCTCCCGACCCAGCACCCCCAGACCCATCACCTCCAGGCACAGCACCCCCTGGCTCAGCACCCCCAGGCTCCGCACCCTCCGCAGTAGCACTCGCAGGCCCAGTACCCCCAGCAGTAGCACCCCCAGGCTCAGCACCCCCGCGCACAGCACCCCCAGAGTCAGCACCCCCAGGCTCAGCACCCGCAGCAGCACCAGAGTCACCTGTAACCTCGACCGGGTCAACGGCGTCTACCTAGGACACACCTGAGGGGGCAGGAACCTGAGGGGGGAGGGGGTCTACCGGGGGGGGAACCGGTACAAGGAAGTCCGGGGGAGGGGGGAGGGAAGGAGTGCGGTAGGGGAAGAGACGGTAGAAGGGGACTGACTCGTCGAACGTGACGTCCTGGGAGGACAGAACACGACGAGAGGAGGGGTGGTAAAACTGCCACCCTGGGGCGTCAGTGGGGAAGCCAAGGAAGACACAGGGAGCAGCACGAGGGGACAGCTTGTCCGCAGACAAGTCGCGGACAAACGCCCGAGATCCCCAGACACGGAACACAGACGCATCGCCAACCTTCCCCGTCCACAGCAAGGCTGGGGACATCGCAGGCCGAGAGACTCGGGGGTGAAGGTTGAGCTGATGCGCCGCGTACCTCACCGCAAACGGCCACAGAAAATGGGGGGCAGCCGCATGCATCATGGACGTACGAGCGACATCCATGACCATGCCAATGCGGCGCTCAGCAATCCCATTTTGCTGTGGTGAGTCCGGAAGCGTGAAGGTCTGGCGGATCCCCCGTGCACGACAGTAGTCCCGCAGAAGGCGAGAAGAGAACTCTCCGCCTCTGTCAGAGTGCAGACGCAGAACAGGAAAGTCCGAGCCGA